CATCACTGCATCACACACCAGGAAAGGCTGTGTGGTAAAGTCCTAAAAATGGAGCATGTAATGATCCCCGTGACGCAGACCGTACATTTGATCTGAGCTAAAAGTTTAAATCACCGTCAGTTTCAGTCTTTTATGTGGGAAATAGATTCAGAGTTTGCCCACATTCCTTCATGCAGAGCTCCGCTGGCTGAGTTGGGGAAAAGTTCAACAGAGTTTTTGAGCTCAGCAAGGAAACCTGTCAGTTCATGGACATGTGTGATGCAGTGAAGGCGTTTCAAGTGAAGCTGTCACTAATGCACCAGTGCAGCCTGCCTCACTTTCTCTGTTGCAGTAATGTTGAACCAAGTCAGCGCACTTTGCTGAGCTGCACCTGTGCAGATTCAGATGCAGCTGCAGTGTAACGATGCACTCAGGGAAAGACACTGAATGGCCGCACAGTTTATTAGCTCCCCTCCTGCAGCAGCGCCCAGCTTGTCTACATGCAGCTCCAACCTTGTGTTTGCTTTCATTTACTTTTCCTGGGGGTTTGGCAGCATGTTCATATTTCTAACTTGCATCATTTTGACAGGATATTTAAAGTTAAAGTTTCTTTTTTTAAGTTTATTTAAACTGGAATAATATTCCTGTCTGTTTTTATTCATATTTATGTTTAAAAAACATTGTTTGAGTGTTCAATAAATCTTTATCTTGTTTGGCCTGCGACCTAAAGTGTGCCTTCAGTTTTGGCCCCCTGTGCGATTGAGTTTGACACCCCTGGGTGAGACCTACCAATTGAACAGCCACTCACGTCGCAGGATTCAGTCCCTGATTCTGGACACAACCATATGAACCTGTGAACACCTCTGGCTCGTGCTGCACTACAGTATTACAGGATTACAGTTTCCAAGCTTCCTCGGGTGTTTGCAGACTGTGCACAAACAGCCCATGACACATATTTTGGATGTGAATTGATACCTTGGGTCTTGCTGTGGTCGAGAGTTCTTCAGTTCTTCCAGTCTGCTCCCCAGAGTAGCGCTCAGGTAACGGAGGTCAAACAGGAACTGCAGGGCTCTGTTCTGCGTCATGGGGAATACAGCATCCTGAAGGAGAAGGGAGGCACAACCATAGAAAATACATTTAAAGTGCTAACCACGCCCTTATGTTTCTGTGCTCCTTTGCCATCAGATCAGTTTCTCACTGCCATTGTTTTGACAGTTGCATTGACAAAATACACTAATCAGTCATAACCTTATGACCACCTGCCTAATATTGTGTAGTTCCCTTTTGTTGCTGCATTGTGCTCCAGTAGAGCCCTGAAGGTGTGCTTTGGGACCAAGAGATTCTCTCTCACATAGACTGGACTGAGATCTAAGGAATATGGAGGTCCAGTCAACACCTCAAAGCTATATTGTTTTCCTCAAACCATTCCTGAACCATTCCTGCTCTGTCTGATGTTGCATGTTCCTGCTGAAAGAGGCCACAGCAATCATGGCATACACCATGAAACATGGTCTGTAACAACTGGTAGGTGGCACGCATCCACATGCAGGACCCAGCAGGACATTACCGAAAGCAGACCTTCCCAAAGTGTGGGGCCCGCCCCCTAGGGGGGCGCAGAGCCATGAGGGGGGGGGGGGTGTGCGCGGTATGAAACGGAAAAAAAACAAAAACAACAACAACGCTTGGACACTGTTTCCAAACCAACTTCATTCTAAGCCAAAGACTAGATTTTTGCTGTAAAAACAAAAGAAGCAAAAGAAGTTTGGGAACCACTGACCTAAAGGATTATACTGCATCTGCAAGCTTGCCACGCAAACACCCGAGCAGCCACGTCATGTAAGAGAGAACACGACTGATCAGACCAGTTAAGCTCATGATGCTGAGATCCACTCACTGGATTCACTCCAACTTGACACCAGCCAGTATAAAGGCAGCATGAGCAGCACACGTCCGTACAGCTGATGAAACAGCTGCTTCTGTAAGTCTACAAAGAGCCGTAAACTTCAGATCAGCTGATCACAGCCTGACCACTAAGAAAATAGAGCCCACAGCAGAGACCTGTGTGAGCTCTCCCCACGCTGAGTCCTTACAGCGAATCTCAGGGTTCATGTGCTGATCCCACCGATGTGGGGGAAAGTCACCCTCTCAGCGTTTGTCCTTCCCCACTCAGACTCTACCTAACCAAGCTGAGTACATTTATTACAATTGAACTGTTGACTAAAAGCTTGTTTCCAATCTACTTTCTTACACTGTTACTGAACTGATGCAGCACAGCTCAGTCAGCTTTGTACAACAATACAAACCTTTTACTTTCTTACTGTGAGCACATTTCACAACCTGTACTTTTCACCTTTAATCGAGTAAAGAAGTAGAATCAGTGCTTCAGTTTTTACTGGAGTATTTCTGAACACTAGTATCTGTACTTCTACTTAAGTATGTGTGTACTTAGCTCTTCATTAGTCTCTCATTGAATATTTCTGGCTGTCTGTAGCCATACACCAGGTCCTGCTAGCATGATTCCCTTCTTTTCCTCCAACAGAGCCGTGACGCTCTGCTCGTCTGTGATCATCATGAAGATTATTCTCAGACTTTTCTCAGAACACAGGAAATCATCAGGTCGAGGAATAATCCAACTATCTACCAGACAGGTCCCAGTTACCGTGCTGCTGGTCAGGCTGTGGTAATGGTGCAGGACTTCAGTCAAACAGGTCTGCAGAAACTCCTGGAGGGTGGAGCGAGGAAGGGCGTGGCCTCCCACCCTGTTTATTTCCACACACAGCTGGAACAGCAGGGACTGCACAAACCATGTTGGCTACAGAAGACACCAGAAACAAAAGGTTGCCATCAGACCTCAGGATGGATTCTGGGTCCTTCCAGTTTGTATCAGATGTCCTCCTGACCTGTACTGGAAGACGGATGTTGGATGTAACGCTGCTTCCAGACTCAGCCTCCTCCTGGATTTCCAGATCCTCCCAGTTAGTTGCTGTAGCTAAGATGGTGCCTGCAGACTCAGCATGAAGCACCATGCCAAACTTCTCCAACAGCCCCTGCAACACAGAGCCGAGCAGGTCTTCAGACAACACCAGAGGAATCCAAACACAAGTCATAGCTGTAGACCTTTGACCCTCACACATACGTCTGTTGAAACTAAAACATTAGCAAACAGACAGGTTTCCACAGCAGCAGCATGATCACTGGTTTAGTCAGAGTCCCTCCACCCGTCTGCTCAACAGTTCAGTCAGATAATACACTTTCACTCAACCTTTATAAACCAGTTTACCCACAGCTGGACGCCATGTGACGTGATGTGATTCTACTGCTCTATCAGATTTCTACAAACCTCCCCATAAACCGACACTAACCACATGTCAAGTTTACATGTACACTTGTGACTGTGTCTGACTTTAGAAAGAGCGGCGCTCCAGATGCGGTAGGCCTCCATACTGCAGCCAAGAAGCTCCTCCTTCAGCTCCTCCCACTTGTCCTGGGAAGGCCTGACCTCTGCAGCGCCTGTGGCTTTGCCCAGCTTCTTGCCTTGCCTGGGGGTCCCTTTGGCTGTGCTGTCAAAACCACACTGCTTTCCCAGGATGCAATGCTTCAGGTTGGGGCACAGTTTGCCCATAGACTGGCTCAGCCTGGCCATGAATAGAACTGAACTGAGGCAGGTGGGCCTGGAGTCTGGCGAGGCCGCAGCCAGCTGTGATCGGATGAAGGACAGAATGTGGTGAACACAGGCCAAACAGCCGTCACGCAGCGCCGCCTCCACTGCTGCGGAGTCGATGAAGCGGTTAAATGAGGATGACGATGGCTGATCAGCAGAGGAAGGGACAGTGGCCAAAGTGGAGTCAGAGCCTGCAAAGCACGACACATTAACAACTGTCAGTACTTTCAATATTTCAGTGGTCCAATAGTGGCCATTCGTATGTTTATACAATCCAAAGAGTATGAAACCCTCAGATTTAGCTCCAAACGCTTCTGTGGTTTTCAGCACTGCATCAGATCAAAGATGTGACTGAAGTGCAGACAGATGTGCTCCATCAGTCCTGCCAAGTACAGTTTCAGACATTCAAAAGGGATCGGATAGCTGACATCACCCAGTTTCATGGTCAGGTGATGTCACTTCCTGTTATTCCAGAATCTAGAGTTGGTTCCAAAACTTCAACAAAGATAAAAGCCTGAGCTTTTCACTGGTCTTTCTCAATATCACATTAAATCAGGATAAATACACCATCAATCTGTCAGCTGAAACACAAGGAAACCCCCACAACACTCCCAGTGGACCTACCCACGTCCTGGGAGGGGAGGTAGTGCTGGAGATCATCCAGTCTGGCTTTCAGCTTTGCATCAATGGAAGAGCAGAAGTTCTGAACACAAGGTGTGAGCGCCTGCGTCTTCATGGCCAGGCCACTCCTGTGCTGCTGCTGGCCCCGCTGGCTCACACTGAACCAGCCTGCGTCATTCAGCAGGTCCCCTGGAGACTCCAACCACAAGAAGGAGGAGACATCTACCTCATACTGGGCCCCATGGCTGCTGTGGGCACCTGAAGACGAATGGACGCTCTGGGTCTGCAGATCCCTGACGGCGGATGTAAGGAGCTGGATAGACAGCACTGAGATGGCTTCAGTTTCCTCTTTAGTGATGACCTTGAAGAGTTGAAAGAAACAATAAAAGTGTTACAATAACTGCATGTTTATCCCCCGTCATTAGCAAGTATACAGACTAAGTGGGCCCTGAAAATGAACCTATAAAGCTAAAGATAGAAGAACAGCAACCTGCAGCCGCTGGAGGAAAAGCTGCTGCAAGATGTCCTCCCAGACGGTGAGGGGGTGCTCCAGCAGACGCTGACAGACGGTGCTCCAGTGCTGACTGATGGAGTCTGCTGACAGAAGGTCCCAAACAGCGTCTCTGATGGCTGCCAGCCCCTTCAGGCTCTTGACGTAGACCAAAAGGCTTCCAACACCATGGCAGATGTCCTCCTTACAGCTGGAAACAACACATTTGGAGAGACTGGAAATGATCACGTAGCCTTCATGAAACACACGCCCTGCACTCGATAACATCAAGGTGAGCGTTGCAAACAGGCCAGAAATAACCAGTGTGGGTAAGTTACTTTAAGTAATTAATTACTAATTACTTAATCAACAGTGTATTTAAAATACTTATCTAATTACTGTGTCTGAAAAGTAACTTAATTACTCAATAAGTAATTTAACTAAATACTTCTTAAAATCCCAATAAAACCTTGAGTGGCAAACAATGGTAAATGGCCTGTATTTATATAGCGCTTTACTAGTCCCTAAGGACCCCAAAGCGCTTTACACAACCTGTCATCCACCCACTCACACACACATCCACACACACTGGTGATGGCAAGCTACATTGTAGCCACAGCCACCCTGGGGCGCACTGACAGAGGCGAGGCTGCCGGACACTGGCGCCACCGGGCCCTCTGACCACCACCAGTAGGCAACGGGTGAAGTGTTTCGCCCAAGGACACAACGACCGAGACTGTCGGAGCCGGGGCTCGAACCGGCAACCTTCCGATTACAAGGCGAACTCCCAACTCTTGAGCCACGATCGCCCCATCAATAGAAATTAAACTCTTTAAATAATAAATCATTTTAGAGACGGAGACTCTGCAGCAGGAGCATCTCTTCCAGTGTCGCCTGCAGGCATATTTAAGCACCGTCTGTGCTGCTGAAGTAAAACCAGGTCCTGCTCAGCAGTGTTATCCATGGATGATGAAGGATCGCTCAGAAGTCTTCGTCTATGCTCTGTGTCAGGCGCTTCAGTAGGTTACTGCTGCTGTTAACAGCAGCTGATAGTTTTTACATATCACTGTAATGTTCTTGTCTGCTTGTTTCAGAAAAGTGAAGAGACGGGAACATGTCCACGTCATGAAACAACCACTGCTTCAGTCCGACAGCTGTAGAAAACGACCGTGCAGCAAACTGGTGTGGAATGACGCGCAGCTGCACCTCAGCCATGTTACAGAGCAGAGTTTACTTCTACGTTTAGAAGATAAATGATTGAAATGAAATAACGATGTTCAGCCAGTTTAATTATTTTACAATGTAACACAAGCACATTGTAAGTAACTGTAATTAAAATACCTAAAAATGAACAGTAATCAGTTACTCTACTTTTTCAGTGGAAAAGTAATTTAATTACACTGGACCATGACATGAGAATAATAACGATAACAATAAGGAGTAGTGAATAAATAGATGTGCGAGTGGTGAGCACATGTGACAGGTGGTGGGATGAGACGCTCCCTCATCTTTGTGTTGTTTGTTCCGTCTCTGGTCGGAGCTTCATGCACTTCCAGCTTCATGTTTGTTGTCCTGCAGTGTAAGACATGATTGGACCACAGACACTGGTCTTCATTGTGTCCCACAGCAGTCGAGGCGCACACATCTGCAGTGGATCGAATGTAAGTCAGCAGTTCTCTCCTACATGGCTGCTGAGCACCACCTGCCTGGACGCCAGTCATCACACCGTCACAGATAGATCCAGTTTTCACGTCGACGACTCCAAACCAGTAAACTTCATCTGGTCTTCCACTCGTCGTCTCACAAACTGAAACTAAAATGAAGATCAGCAGATAATGATCCTGTAATGAACCACGTTAAACACTGAGCCTCCTGCTCCTCGTGTCTAAACCTAAACCTTTGTCCTTGAGCCAACGATCATGACGGTGTTCATGGCTCCACCCTCACTGGTCCCCAGGTGGAGGACCCACAGTCATCTCCGGACATGTTTAAGGCCACTGCAGCGGTGTGTAAGTGGCCGAGAATAAAATGCAGCGCGTCGGCTCCCTCTGCTGCTCGGGGAGGCAGCTTTAAGGAAGGCTGCAAGGCTGTGCTGGATCACGTATGCTACCCCGAGAACTCCCGCCGCCACTTCTGGGAGCTGGACTCCGCCTCGGGGTGATCGCTCCCTTCTATCAGCTCAAAGTGATCACAAGTCACTCCTGACAGCACAGAGGCAGAGCTGGAATGCTACTATTAGCACATTTTTCTATGCAAACAACACTGAAACTGAAAGAAAGGAAACAGTAGACATTCAGTGGCCTTACGTATCGATCCACTGTTGAAGAGTGTCTTGCAGGTGCTCCCTCTGGATTGGCTGAGCCAGGGTGCGAAGGACAGGTTGAAACTCTGAGATGGACGCAGGCAGATACTTTAACCAGCTGCCTGTACTCACATCTTCCTGCAACACCCTTCTGTCCTTAGCTGAGGACACAGATGGGGAACATTGGAAAAGGGGGGCTGTTAGTTTCTCAGACTGAGTGTTTCAGAGCGGACAGGCGCGGTGCTCTTGCTGCACACTTACAGCAGCTCAGACTACACGCACAATACAGTCATACAGTGTTGTATTCAGCATCTGCGTCACATCCACAGACAGTTTAGAGTCAGCTGTTCCTGTGAGGCACGGGGAGACGTCCACACAATGGCCACGCTCACCCAGGAGATGAAAGCCAGCAAATTCTTGCTCTGAAGCAAAGCTTATTCTTATTAACCTAAACACAAAGACCCCGACGTGTCCTGTCTCAGCTGTTTACCTGCAGGACTCGTAGATGTGACGTTGTCCAGGACAGAGAAGAGCATGCCACAGCTCAAAGCTTCATCCCCTGGCCTGGGGCTGCCCTCTGGGGGGAGGTAGAAGATGGCATAGGCCTGAAACAGAGTGGTGACCAGCAGCTCCACGAGGCTGCACACCTGGGACTTGATCCCTGCACCTGCAGAAAAGCACAGGTTCATGGACTAACAGAAGCCTCAAAGGCTTTTTCTTTATCAAATCAAACATTTGTCACGCTTTACCACAGAAGGAAACTATAGAGCATACCATGCTGCGGTTGGTTCAGCAGCTGATGTATGGATGATTTCCGGGCCAACAAGAAGTCAGCCAGAGCCTGCCGAGGAGAGCTGTCTTCAAGCAGCATGATGGACACCAAGGCTTCAGCGATGGCCTGGTCCGACACTGCACGGCCCCTCAGCAGAGCCCTGCTGTCCAGCAGAATGGCTGCCCTGCAAGAAGACGCTTACTCTCAGCTACTACAAGTGCACTATTTTAGTTTCCAGCCACGGAGTTTCGATTTCAAGTTTCCGTTAAGCAGGAATTGTGACACAAACCTGAAGTGTTCGGTGGTGGCAACCTGTCGGATTAGGATGGGAAATCGGACAAGGACGGAGCTGTAGAGGCCTGCTGCAGTGGCCTCCAGCTGCAGCAGATGGTGCAGGTGGCAGCACATCAGGTAGAGCTGCGTGGCTCGGAGGTAGTGAGATGCCTCCATGGCACTCCAAATCCGCTCCGGGATCTCCAAAAGCAGCTTGATCTGGGAGGCCATGGTGTAGAACTTTAGCTGCCACGGTGTCTGGCTCTGCAACAGGACACACAGTGCGTCTCCGTCACAACGTCATCAGCTTCAAACAGTTGCTGCAAAAGCAGTTTGTGCACATGTGAAAGTGTTCGTTCTCTTAACTCAGGAGAAGCTTTAGAAGGAAACATGCAGTTTAGACGTCATTTCAACCAAGTGTTGAACTTTGACTGATGAAGTCCAGAGTTAAATATTTAAAATCTGTTGTAGTAAAGACAGACTACAGAACAGCTTCTTCCCGGGCTGTCAGAACTCTGAATGCAAACTAAGAGTGTGTAAGGACTTCCCCAACACATCCACCCCGACACTGCTGCTGATCATCTATGTGCAGTATCTCAGTCTCTCCATGTTCTGTGCACTTATTCTGGTCCCAGTCTGTTTCAGTGTTTCCTACACATACACCATGTATATAGTTCCACTCACATATCTATACATACACACTGCTTTTATTTTATTCTATTTACTTATTTATTTCCCACCTTCGTTGTATATTGGTTTCTCTTCTTCTTACGTCAGCACCTTTGTGGTCCAGAAACTGCACAATGACAATAAACAGCTGGAAGTCTCTGAAGCCTTTTCTCCTGAGCAGCTGCCTCACTGTCTGTATGGTAACTGCACCGCAGTACAGTGGATAGTGAGAACAGCTGGGAAGATCACTGGAGCCGCTCTTCCCTCCATCACAGACACTTATCACACTGCAAAGCCACCAGCATCGTGCAGGACCACACACCCCACAGACACACACTCTTCACCCTGCTGCCCTCCCTGCCAGACTACAGAATAGTTTCTTCCCCCAGGCATCACACTCCTGAACACTCAGTGACTGGAGACACACACACACACACACACACACACACACACACACACCAGGTCACTTCTGCACTGTTGTGTGTCTGCATCCTTCTGTTCTGCCTGATGGTGCTTGTGTGCTGCATGTAGCAGCGGTGTTGAACAGGCTGGAATGAACCGCAAACTGCTCTGTGACGAAGCTGTGTTCAGGTGGTTCGGCAGCCTCACCTTTCCTGAGCAGCTGCGAGTCTGCCGCGTTTGTAGGTGAGGTTACGGTAGATCTTCATGACGTTGTAACGTACTACTAAGGCGCATACGTCGACACACGGCGTTTGGCTCACCTCCACTCTGCAGCTGGCCACGCTGGCTCTGCCCTGCTTCAGCCTGTGGCAGTACTGCTGCATGTCCTGGATGGACTGCACGACGCTCTCCGAGCACTGCTTCATCTCCCCGATCGTGTCGGCGGCGTCGATCAGGTCCCGGTACCGCTCGCCCACCATCTGCCTCAGCTCCTCCCTCTTCTGCTCGATCTCCCCGCGGACTTTGCGCTCGATTCCGCGGATGTCCTCAGTGTTATAGCACTCAAAGAGAAGCGCCGGGTCGCTGATCTCCGACACCCGGAGAGAAAGCGCGTCCTGGGCCATCGTAGACACACAACAACATCAACCGAGACTCCGATCCGGAAACCAACGGAAGACACTTCCTGTCTCCACGTAAGCGACAACAGCGGAACTGGTCACGCTGCTGTCATTTCCGTGGGCGTCGCTGTCCCGTGAACCAAGCGAAACATCCCCGAGTTCGCTCATGTTACGTGTGTGTGCGCATTTTGAGTTTAACACACACTAACCAGCCGTTTACACATGATCAGATATCACTGTGTGACGTTTAAAACACACTCATGACAGGCCGAGTGCAGCAGTGTGCGCACGCCGTCGTAGAAACAGCAAACAAATAAACAACAATGGCGACTCTATGTACAGGCAACACGTGACCTCCGCCTGTGAAATGAACACAGCGGCCTGTTTCCTACAAACTGCATGAATGACTTCAGTATGATGTGTGGTGATGTTTGAAGATGCTGCTGTCAGCAATCTATCTATCTATCTATCTATCCATCCATCCATCTATATTGACAGACGTTACGTCCAAAGTTTCAAAGAACAACAACACAACATACAAATCTTAATATAAAATATTTGTAAAGATATAAAACCATAGTGTACGCTGCTTGTAAGATGACCATGAGGGGGCAGTATATAGCGCTGTCATCGTCATCAGTGAAGGGTCTCTCTTTAGTTGGACACAGAAATCTATTATTTATCATAAGAAAGCGTCCAGTGTATCATAAACACAGAGACACATTTAGTCTGATAGAAAACAAACAGGTTCCTCTACATGCTGACTAGATTTCCAGCGACGGTGGAATAAATGTATGCAGGGTTTTGGTACTTCTTCAGTAAAAAATAGTTCTGTGAAGATATAACGACTTAAACACTATTTGTGGGTTGTTATATTCACTTTCTTTGGCTTCGTCTCACTCTTACTCTCTTTTTAAACGTACCTGGACACTGTCCAAGGGCTGCATATGTGAAATAGGTCCACAGTCAGATCTCCACAGTACCAGCATGAAACGTAACCCAGAAAGTAAGGTTTCCTCGAGCAGGCCAACTATCTGTTGGCTTTTGATTGACTTCAGTGATAAACTACTGTCCTACTGCATTTATTTGGATGTACTGAAAATAAAGATGTGGAGGTCTGAAAGGACGAGACCTTCCCTAAACATGGCTGACTTCTGCTGTGAAACAACCTGGTACTGTCACTAAAATGACACTGACTTGTCTATAAACTGTGATTAGGTTTCCTAATGCAGAAAGATGTCAGGAGCCTGAGTGTATGATGCAGAGCTGTTTTTGCTCCATATGGACAGGCAAGCCCGATACAGACCATAAATACTTTCCCAGTGTCAAAGCCATCCTTCCACTGGAAGCATTTTGTTTTGTTCTTCCATTCATTTCAAATAAAGCAGAGTACAGAGCAAAAGTCTTCTTTTCTTTATGTTTTGACAGGAAACATGGAAATAGGTGCAGTGATTTATTGACATCTCTGACACAGACATACAGTATGAAAGCTGAGTTTCTACAGTTCTAACAAGCTTGAAAGTCAGTAGCTGATATCACCAGAGTTCAGGCTGCACTGAACTCTCCTAATCAAGCTTTCTTGTAATTTCTTCCATAGTTCCCACTGCATGCTTTTAGATGGCATCTTTTTCCCTTCACAAGATTCCCACCAGCACTGCCTGACGCAGCCCAAACCATCCCTCTACCATTTTTAAAGATGGTTGAAGATATGTATTGATATGGCTATGTCTTAAGGTGATGACCTTTGAACCGGATGTTGTTGTCCGAAGGAAGCCCCGTTAAGTGGCTAGTTGTAAGATGAAGAGTGTTCAATAAAGCAACATAAAGACCGTGCTTTATGTCCTGATTCAATTCAGAGTGCTCTGCCTAATTTAGTAATAAGGTGGGCACACAACAGATACTCACTGTCATAATCACCTCCATACTTGATGATGATCATTTGGAGTTATCAAGCAGCGCATCAGTGTTTTAGACTCGTCCGTTCAATCGAGTCTCAGAAATTTGGGCGTCATAGCGACAGTTCAATGTCTCCAAACTGGTTCAGAAGTGTTTTAATCACATGAGAAACATTTCTAAGGTCAGGCTGCTGGTGTCAAAGGCTGAGCCGGGGATGATTCTTCATGCTCTTATTTCTTCTCGTTTGGATTACTCCAGTGGTCTTTTTACTGGTTTCTACAAATCAGCGTTGGAGCCTTCAGACAGAACACTGCAGCACCAATAGGAGGCCACATATTACTCCAGTTTTGGCTTCTCTTCATTGGTTGCCAGTAAATTTTAGGTTTCATTTTAAAATTTCAGTTTGAACTTGTTGAGCTCTACATGGTGAAGCTCTGGTCAGTTTATCCCTGAAACCTCGTGCTTCATCCCGAGCACTCAGGTCTTCGTGTCCGAGGCTACTGTTGGTCCCCGTGGGGATCGGTCTCTCAGACACCATTTCTATACAAACAAGCTTTAATTAATGTTTTCATTGTTTCATGTCAATATTGTATTAATATTTTTGGTTTTATTGTGCAACACTTTGTGATTTTAATCTATGAACAGTGCTCAATAAATACATTTCTAGTCTACGTCTTGTGCATAGCTCTGTATTGTGTCCCGGTTTTCCTTGCGTTCGAACGGCTTCCTGACAGCCAGTCTGTGAGCAGTTATAGACTCTGATTCTTATTTAGCGCTTTTCTACTCTCCATACAACATTCACCCATTCTCACAAGCACTTTCTCCATACATAGTGCTTTCTAACTACATTCACACTCCAATGGATGCATCGAAGAACAACTTAGGGTTAGTATCTTGCCCAAGGATACTACTACTCTGAGCCCCTCCCGAATGGCCGAACTTCTCACCCTATCTCCAAGGGAGAGGCCAGCCACCCACGTGGACCGAACCCCGGCTACCAAGACTGGCAATTGGGACATGGGATGCTTTAGTGTTATGTTGCAGTTAAATAAAAAACAGCAGATTAAAGCAGTACAGTCATATCTTGTTTTATTATGTTTCAGGTTTAAATGTTTGCTTCTTGTTTAAGGGTTAAGCTTACTATTATTACTTTGCTCTGAGCTCGTCCTTCATCTACTAAACGGAGGTCAGGTGTAGGAGACATCCAGCATTTCCTGACTTTTAAAGTGCTGATGATGTCATGTCTGACATCACCGAGCCTTTTGTTTTCTGGATTTGTCAAGAATATTTCTTATACAGAACCATTTAACTGTGTAAATTAGGCAATGACATAAGCACAAAATGAAGCCATAATAAGTACGAGTAGAAGCTAAAAACTACGAGCAACCTATGAACTGTGACTAGAAGTTGGAAGCTCTTAATTGTAAATAAATAAATGATAATGAGATCAATTAGATCAATTGTTTGTTAGACCCTCATTACAGTAATAACAGTTAGAGAAAACAGAAATAGAAACAATAGAACGCTACAGCCAAGACGAAGACGTACCAACCACAGTATACATGAACCTTTCACAGTAACTTTAAGCTAGCATCACAAAGACAGTGGAAAACATAACGTCTACATGTCAAAGCTGGTATATCAACACCACATTAACTCACTCATTAAAATCACTGCTGTCCATTTCAATCCTTTTACCTGGTAGCACTGCCTTATTTGCATGAAGTCAGGAAAATGGATTCTGGGCTGTTCCCGTCCTTTTCTTTGTGGCCCTCTGTGTGAATGGATAAGAAACCTGAGCGATTAGCAGGGGTAGAGGGCCTCTCCTGGCTCCTATCTGTGGGGCTGATTACAACCAATAATGTCCAATGAATGGACTGATAACATCTGAAGCAAGTGTGAGGACTGCAGACAGTCCATTCCCATATTTTGGAGGTAAGCTCTGATAAACCCTGCTCTATGGGAACGAGCAATATAGGGTTCGGTCTCAGAATATGAAAATATGGGAGTGCCAGTGGTTGCAGTATCTCATCTCAATATCTCTCAGTATTGAGACTGCAGTGATGACAAGTCTTGTTTCTTCTAGTGAGAAAGATGGTGCCCCAAACTATATCAAGGTCTTCCTCATGGTCGTGTTCCAGTGCTGACACCGACAGTCCTGATGGTCAAGGGCAGTCCTGGCAGCACTATGACCTCAGAGACTCTGAACCGTCTGAGCCATTGGTCAGATCATTCTGCAGACCTCGATGGTTCGTCAGTGTTGACGAGGAGTGGGAACAGTTTTTTTTACCTTGATTTACACAAGTTGCTCGCTTTGTTTTTTCCTGGTCAGTGTGACAAAGTGGAGGAGCAGTTGCAATGCTCTCCATTTGTCCCACATGTGTTTACCTTTTTTTTTTGCACATTATTCTGTTTCTATGTATTTGCTATGATTTGCTGTTTGTCATGTAACTTTGCTTCACTCACCATCCCGGGTTTGTTTGTGGAAGCGTTTTGTTGCCGGCAAATCAAACATTCTGCAAATTAAGACGAATACTAAGTTACATGTTTCTTTATATTTTATTATGTTACAGATTAAGTCATTCGTTCATACTTACTTTGTTTGTCTTTTCAGTCTCCATGAGGGTCAGGTGTGGGGAAACGCCCACCTGGCATTTCCTCATTTTAAAGTCCTGCTGATGTCACACATGACATCAGCAGGTCAAACCAAGTGGAGGGGTTTCTTTGTCCATAGAGATGCTTCCTTTTGTTTGTGTTAAGGTTTAAAGGAATTTGTTGAATGCGTTTCCTTTCGTTAAGACTGCCATTTAGTTGTGTAAATGTGCATGTTAGAAGTGTGTAGAGGTTTTGTGTTTTTAGATCATCTGTGTAGAGCTTTAGATCCCTCAGTGTGAGTGATACTGGCTGGGCAATTGGAGGGAAATTGATGGCCCTATTTAAAGCCAGTCTCTACCAGATGCAGCAGAGAGCAGAGGTGAGCTGTGTCACCAGAGCCATGTTACACATTAAATTAAGCTCACTGTAAATAAATTGCTCACCTCTGGAAACCTGACATGTCTGTGTAATCTGCTTTCCTTCCACCTTCCTTGACGTTCGAGTGCGACTACTTCAGTCAGCAACCATTGTTGCTTCCCTCAGCATTTATTCTTGGCAATGACAAGGCATCACAACTGGACTTTGACTGCACAACTCCAATATCATTTTGTCTGTTTTGAGCCTTTCAGAAGTAAAGGTCCTGGTGTTTCATCTCACTGTGCTGCTGTATAACCAAGTACATGAACTTGAGCTTCATGGAACAAACTGATGGATGTTTCAGAATTCTGATTGCAAATCAGGTGCAGCTGGTGTTACCACAAACAAACAAACAAACAAACAAACAAAGAGCGGGTCAGGTAGGTTTGGATCTCTTTCCCCCCCTAATGTATGACATCATTACAAAAATGAATTTTGCATGAATCTTTGTCTAATATTAAATCTGACAACCTGAAGTGTGACAAATACAATGTGGCACTGCATTTCCAATAATACAAATGAAGTTCAGTGATGACTTTTTTATTACATGCATCTTCAGATCACCAAAGAGAGTTCATCAGGACGAAAGTTTAATTGCACACATTCCACATTTTACATGACAGGCATCTTTAAATACATTAATACTTAGTGGAAAGAAGTCATTTGTTCATGTCTACAATAGTATTTGGTTCAAAGAAAATCAACACGAGACGAATACAAACAGCAACAGATGATGTCACAGGTAGCTTATTTAAATAAACCCATGTAGTAACAAACAGGGAATGTGAGGTCGAGGGATGAAGGGCCCTGCTCCAGCCACGTTTGTGTTCATCAGTTTGCACAAATGTGTTTCTGCTCATCCTGCTCGTTGGGTTTTCTTACAGCTTCTGCTGTTCTGAAACAAACGTGCTGCCATCTGTACTGAGCTCAGGCCGGTGTGCAGAAGCAGACAAACACAGCACATCAGGACTGGAACCAAAGCAGACTGGAGGAGCCATGACACGTGTAAATATAGGCCGTGCGTGGTTCTCTGTAAAGCAGACCACAGGGGGAGACTGTGGCATGTTCGTGATATCACTCCTAACAGATGTTTTACCCATTACAACAACGTTTGATTCTTACTGTGTCCCACACACCCACATACTGAATGAGGGAATAATTCGGAGGAAGAGGCTGAGCTAGAGCAACACTTCCTCTGTTGATTGTGCACCTTATAAAACTGGAAACAGGATCAATTAGAGCTCAGATCTGTGAAGAAGCATCTCAGTATCTACATACACAGGTCAGCCAATCAGCTAGTGACAGGTAAAATGAGCTGAGCAGCTGACATCTATGTCCAAACTGCCACTCATTACACCCCAAACGACCTGGTACAGTGATGACAGCCTCCAGCAGAGCCCCGTCCTCGACGTACTGTGGAGCAGGTTTGTTTCCTGTGGGAAGATTAGAAAGGTGCTACGGCAGGAGAAACACAACAGGAGCTTCTTCAAAGACCTTCCTCCTTTGTTTATGTTCTTGGTCCCATCAAAAATACAGAAAACTGTTACCTTCATCACAGATTGCTCCTCATGTTCCCACTCCAACATGATGCGCTTGGCAGCCACTGAAACTGCCTTTTCCATGTGCATCATAACAGTAATGCACAGGCAATGTCACGCAGCACTGCTGCTGCATGTGAGGTTAATGCTATGCAGCAGAGTGAATAGATGATGCTGTTAGTGGCAGCAGACTGTTTGACTCTGAGCATTTTACACAGGCTTGTGGTGTCCACCTGTGTACCAGCACTACAGTAGTAGGGCAGGACTTTACTACGAGGAAGCTTTCAAAGCGATCACCATGCTGGGACAGAACAAGTACAAGAAACGTACTTTTAGTACAAAATTAGTGTTCTACAAAACAACTGAAACACAATCAGGAATGTGAGTGTGGGTAATAAATAATTCTATTAAAGTGAACCAAATGACATGAATCCACACGGCAGTACTGAGACGCACTGACGGGACTGTCTGCTATCTGGGCTAACATCACTGGGGGCGGAGCTTTAGCGCTCTGACATCACACTGCATTTCAAATAGCTAAAATAATGAACACTTCCTTTACAACACAGTGCTAAGTGTGAGTCCGAGCGGAGCCTGGAGGATGACGGGCTGCAGGATTAAAAAGGTCTGTAGTTCCAGAAACTGGAGAAAACCGAGATCTGCAGGGAAGGAAGCAGCTGGGATTCAGTCAAAGATGAAACAGTTTGCACTTCCTTTCACTTTGTGCTCACTGTAACAGATTTAATTGGTCTAGACCAAAAGGAAAGGTCACTTTATGAAACAAACTGCCAAACGGTCCAAATACTTCACGCCACTGTAGAAACACGTTTAGGCAAACTGTGCTGTGATCATTTAACCCAGAGCTCTTTGATCCCGATCTGTTCCCACAGTAAAGACTCAGGTGCTTCTCTAAAGTAAATGAAACAAACCCAAAGTCTTTGTTATCCAACGTTGCTCATACAGCTGTCACATGACCCTGGCTAACGTCTCGGTTCACCCCAGGTTAGTTACAGTGGTGTGGAGACGTGTTCGTGCCCTTCATCATAATTGACTTTTTGTATGTTTGATCCGAAACATTTAAGCGTGACAAAAAGACCCCCATGAAAGCTCCAGAACCATCAGCGTCAGGGGTTAGGCTAAGCCTCGTTACACTGAATGGTGGTGTTACTAAAAGTTCATATTTTCTAATTAGTTTCTGTTTTTATTTCACTTTTAGCTTTTAATTCAGTTTTCAGAGTAAATGTTCATATTTCTCTTCTCTCACCCCAGCCAATCACAGCAGATGGTCCCGCCCCTCCCTGAGCCTGGTTCTGCTGGAGGTTTCTTCCTGTTAAAAGGGAGTTTTTCCTTCCCACTGTCGCCAAAGTGCTGCTCATAGGGGGTCATATGATTGTTGGGTTTTTCTCTGTATCTATGAAGCGCCTTGAGGCGACTTATGTTGTGATTTGGCGCTGTATAAATAAAATTGAATTGAATTTCATTTACATGTTTGAACATTTTTAGTCACATTTGTGTCATGTTGGCACAGAAAAGTCAGTACAGGTGTTACAGTACGAGCTGTCTCCGAGCAGAAACGGGAGCTGGAAGCATGTAAATATAATAATAACCACTGCAGCCAAACAGAGAGCCTGACGAGCCCAGCTGTAAGTAAGCTGTTAAGACTCGACTGTACGCTGTGTTCCTGTTTCCTCTGAAACAATAAGTTCTGTTGCAGCAGCCTTTCAACGCCTCTCTCTGTCTCTCGCTGCAAACTTGACCCACACAACAAAGTAAAGCTATTTTTCAGCTACGAGCCGACACGAACCCGACGTATCAGCCAGAGGTCCCTTTACTACGGTTCGGAGCCGCGGACCTGTTTTATATACGCGCTGAATAGTTTCTATACGAGATCGCTGCAGAAAGTGCAGCCTTACCTAATGTCCACCTACTGTTACTCATTTATATGAAGATTTTAACATCTAGCTGGTGTTGGTGTGGAGAGTAACCTTCAGTAATAAATGACACAGCAATAGTTCATTCATGTAGTTATAAAAAGCATGATAATATATTAAGTAATCCTGCCGAACAGACAGCACGTGCTCCCAGAATGAATGCTCCATCTCCTCCACGTCTCTCACGTCATGATTAATAATGTGCGAGTGTTTGAGGGACTGACCTTGTCCTTCAGCTGCTGACAGAGCTGCAGGGATATGGTGAAGAACACCAGCGTGTCGCTCAGCCAAGGCACCACACACTCCACTTTGTGAACATGGCTCACCTCAAACCGGTTGTTGTTGAGCTCACTGTGTTAGCAAAATGTAAAGAGAGCTTAGATACTGTCCACCATGTACACTTTAGCACTACTGTGTGTTACCAGTAACTAGATAGTAAATCAGTTTCCATCCAAGCCAGCATCATGGGGCAGGAGCCCAGCTGTTGAGTAAGAGGCCATTTGGCCACAGTCATATTTAAATATTACTCATAGAGCCAGGTTTCAGTAATATTACACAACAGAATAAGGCTGCATCATCTGGTAATGGAAATATGTCGTTTTCTAATAATAAGCATGTATATGAATAGTTGCAATGACACTGATGGCTCTTTGTGTAAACGTTTCACCTCCTACAACATGTTCAAGCTTCATCAGAGGACTGAAGGACTTACAACATCGCTCCAGGGCTGTGCAGCACTGAGCTCCCAGCAGGCTTGAAATTCTGCAGATATGAGAAGGATCACAAACACTGGTCACATGACAGAGGGCGGCTCCACAGACGGGTGCACGGTGTCACAGAGTCTAACCTTGGTGGTGTTAGCAGGCAGCACGTGGAGCTGGTACACAGTCAGACACAGTTTGCTTAAGTTGATGTAAAAGTTGACCATGACATCCCCGGGTATGGGAGGAGAGAACATTTTCTGGTGATCAAACAAGAGAGGCTGGTGTGAGGCAGTCAGGCTGAAACATCACAGGAAGGTTTAACCTTCAGCAGTATTACTCTGCTGGGTTTCTCTGCAGTGACTTGACTGAGCCAGCACTCAGAGCTCATCAAGTCCTGCTTTAAAATTCATCATCAAGAGCCAGGAACAACCTGCAGATTGCTTTGGTGTATTTCTGCCCTGGTGGAGTTTATTTCCACCCACACCACCTGCATGAGTGCTTCTCCAACCTTTCTCCTCTAACATCAGAGCAGCATGGGCTCCGAGCAGGTTCATTGGGTAACGATCTAACGAGTAATATTTGATGTGGCTACTGCCACGTGGCTCTAATCACATATCCTGCATTACACAGGTCTAAAGTGTGGACAGCAAAGGTGTAAATAGCTCCTACAGGTTACCTGAAGTTAATCTCTGATCCTGTGAGTGTCGACCGAGGTTAGTCAACGCCAACCCAGACTGCGGGCGCTGGTTTCACAGAACAGTTGTGGATTCAGAGCCCAGCACTGAGACTGGGCTTTTTACAGGACCTAACTATGACTGACTGCGACTGTTCCACTTCAGCACTGCTTTTGATGCCATAGATCGCCCTCGTCTGTCAGCGGGAGCCTCCCCCCAGAGTCAGAGGGCTGGAACAGTTTACACTGCACTGACCTACAGCAGGACAGCTTCCTGAGAAACCCTGCTCTCACGAGGAACCTGATTTGACTAAACTTGCTGTCATGTTTTCTTTAAAACCTGCATCTTTACACAGTTATTCTTCAGTAAGATCACTGAGTGCAGCGTGTATACCATCAAACCGCTGGCAGCCAGCTCAGGCAGCGTCATGGAGGCCGGGGTAGTGAGGCGGTTTCGAGCTCGTGTAAGCTGCAGCATCACTCCATCCATGAGCTGCAGCATGAACACAAACGTGATGTTAGTATCAGCAGCACCAGCAGAGTGGCAGCTCTGTGCTAACAGGGACACACCTTGTTGACCTCAGCCCCAGACTTGAAGTGGTAGCTCTCGTCACGGCTGCTCAGCAGCTGCAGAGCCTGGTTCACGTGGTTCCTGGCATCTTGGATCTGATGGGCCACAGAAACGAGGACCAGTGAAGGGTGGGGGTCATATGTTAACACAAGTTCATGAAGAAAACTGCATTCACTTTTAAAAGCTAGACTAGTATGGCGTTATTTTTGTGCCAGTATTCTGAGCGCACGTAAAAAAGGTTTGCAGGTGCAAGTGTTGCATTTTGAGGAGAAATTTATTTGAGTGAACAAAATTCATTCCTGCGTGCAGAAAAT